CGCACCCCACTATACGCACCCCCAGCCACTCTCCCTCTCCACACACCCCCATAAAACCCATACCCACCCACACATCCCCAACAAACGCTCCCCACTAGCCCTTCCCCATACCCACCCACATCCACACCCCCCAATATACAAGAGTAAGACTTCATTTTGAACTATTATGCATACCTCTATATACATGCTGCAAACCACACAAATCGGGGCAAAAATCTTTTTAAAATAAAATTAAAATGTTATTGTAGATATTAGATTTTTAGTACTTTTTTCTGTTTCCAAGATTGCAAACCCCCTTCCCAAAAGGAGTACTTCCAGGGCAAGGGTAAGGACTAACAGTGACAAAGATCAGGGGTTAGGGGGTGGGACTTCTAGCACCAAGATGGCGACCAGGGGGGCAGGGCTACCCTTGTGGCTCTTGACAGCTCACCAAAACTCATGAAGCAACCCTCTAGCTAAAATAATTGCCCACCCCTGCTGTAGAATCATTATGGTGATTTTGACACACTAACATTTTTTTTCTTGAAGAACATCTGTCACAGCAGGGAAAGATAATTGAACAAGGCAAACATGAATTCACTTTTGTATGACAAGTGAAAGGCATGTCTTGAATCTTCATCCCTCTCTTCAAAGATCTACTGAAAAATTTCAAGATTCTGTTCTACTGTTAAGTGTTAGATGACAATTAAATGTTTCTACCAGCTCCAACTAACATTTTAAGTAAATGTATCATGTTACAGTATGATGTAAAACTATAATACCTGTGTTTTTTTCCCCCCCTCTCGATCTAGGTACACAGATTACCCAGGGGGAAAAATAGATCTTTTCCCCTTGGAATGGAAAGATCCCTAGAACAATAACCCCCAGCGAGTGACCATCCACAACTTATCAATCAAAACCGAGAAGGGTAAGGACATGGCAGCAATTCCAGCTGCCTTGCAGGTTCTGTCATATGTGACTTTTGATCCTCTTTCCTGGCATCCTCTTTCTTACTAGCATATCTGTGAACTATATAGCTGCTAAACACAAAATTAATTAATATAATCTTCCTCTAAGGCAGGCTCCCAGATTAGACTCATGCTGTAGACAATGAATTAAAAAAAAAAGCAGCAACTATTTGTACCATGTTGTTGAGACAGCCAACAATAGCCTGAGGCATCTGAGCAAAAGCCACTCCCTTAACTGACCCAAACTCTTTACTATCTGCTACTGAGTCTGGTATTAAGTCACATGCTGATGGTGAATGTCTTATCCATACAACAGTTCCTTTTACACAATATTAAAATATATTCCTCATACTTGATGAATAAACGTGAAAAGCTTATAATTTAAATGGAGAACATGCACAATACAAAGACCTGTTTTCTAATTCCAGAATGTTAAAACCTAAACAAATTGGCCTGATTCTCAGAGATACTGATCAACCTCAACTCTCACTAATTTGAGAGAGAAATTCATATTTTGAGTACCTCTGGAAATCAGGCAATATTTATTTGGGGTTTGTTTGTTTGTTTATTAACTAGGATTTGCACGTTATACATCCCAACTTGAAATTATCATATTTCTTTTTTCCTTCCTAATTTCTTCCCAAATCCTAGTTGAATTAACCTGACTTCCTGTCCCGTAAATTATTTCCAACTATTCACATTGTGCCATTGTTCAAACAACAGCCTTACAGCAAACTTACAAATACAGTCACTTTTTAACAGACATTAACACTTAACTAGAATCTATGCTTGGTTTTATCTAGGGACAGGGTTTGTATGTGCGAGTACATTTCTAAGAAAAGGTTTTACTGTGACCTCTGGTATAAAAACTATGAGATGATACTGCATATCAACCCGTTTCATTTCCCTTTAGTGTTAGTGAGGGTTCCAAGTCCAGTTGTGGGCTAGGGAGCCTTTACAACATCTCTCTAAATAAGGGATGATACAATATGCAAGAATAAAGCAAAGTCCTCCTTTTCTAAGAAAATTATGCATATAGTGTATTCAAATTACTGTGAGGCAGTGTCTGAGTTTCAAACTTAACCCCCGCCATGGTGGGAACCTGCTAATCCTGAACTTTAGATTCATTTCCGTGACCATTTCAAAACAAGGCTATGGCAGCAAGCAATTTCCATTTTCCAAAAAAAGACACCAGACCGCTTTATTTTTTTCAACTATGTTTGAGATTGCCACATACAGCAGTAATATATCTGTTCTGAATGCCCTGAAGAGAATGATATGCCCTCATAAATTCTGTCAAAGCAGCAACATAGCAGGCAGGAGATGCAATTTTTTGGAGCCTACAGAGAGATCCTCTATTTCAGTTTGGGAAATCTGAGAAGACAGTCCTACCTTACACCTTATGCAGGTATACAAATGAGTTTCTTCATACCCCATGATCCAGAGGATCAATAGTTGCTTATCAAATATTGACATAAGCAATATCTCTTCTAGTAAGACAGTGTCAGCTATGGAATATTGGCCCTTAGAATTAAAAAATCCAGCACTTCATAATGGTACATATATTGACAGTCAGTCATTCAACTATACAGAATGTGCCCCAGTATACAGGTCATGTAACCATGAGAGATAGTGAGCAGGAGTTCTTCCAAAAAGTACTGTGGATCTGAATATACCCACCAGCCTTCCCCTGTACCAGCACCAACCTTATCCCAAACCTTCACTGTTATAAACAGAGTACCCCCCTTGACATCTTTTCTACGCAAGTCAGTTCAGCAGAACAGTATTTTAATGGTTCTGCTGTGTCTGGAATCCTCCATGGCCACAAGGTGCACCATTGTGCTGCACAGAAAAAAAGAATTGAAATGCCAGTTCAAAAAAATAAAAGTAACAATTTTGTTCCGCTTATTATATATACAACACGCAGTTTGGATAAAGTCAAGACATAAGATGCTGGGAAAGGAGAGAAAAAAAAATTATATAATTATTTTGCTGATATTTTTAATGAAAGACCCTTCTTTATATAATAAATACTGTGAGCTTTTTTTCTTCTATAAGATACCCAAAATAAATAAAGTTAGGCCACTCTACAGAGAACTCCCACAAACAAACAACAACAAAAAAAAAACACCCACACACATTTTGGGTAACATGCCTCCTGACCAATTTCAGGGCTGGGTATGTGCACACATTCACCAAAAAAGGGTTGAAGAATTTAGAAAAACAAACTGAAAAACAAAATAAGTGATGCTTACTTAGACATAGCTAGTCACCCAGCATCACTGGGCAAACAGTTTTATTATGCACACTTGCTAGAAAAGTTACTATTTTGATTCTTGGAAAAAAAAAAAATATACCGATGCTACAACAAACTACAGTGATGTTAATCTTACAAATAATGATAAGGACAATGAGAACATGCCCATCGTATCTTCTTGGTAAATCTAATTTTCCTTCTGCTTTCAGGATCACAGATTGAAACATTCTGAAATGCTCAACTCAAGTGCAAATACTTCAGCCAACCACTGTATTTACAACACAATAGTAACCAAGCAAGTCATCCCACTAGCATACAGTTTCATTTTCATAGGAGGATTCCTGCTAAATGGCACAGCAGCATGGATTTTCCTGCACGTTTCTAGCAAAAAAAGTTTTATTGTCTATCTCAAGAACATTGTTGTTGCTGACCTCATCATGAGCCTGACTTTCCCTTTCAAAATTCTTGCCGATACAGAAATTGGGCCTGGGCAACTCAACTTCTTTGTGTGCCGATATTCAGCTGTTGTCTTTTACTTAAATATGTATATTGGAATAGCATTTTTTGGCCTCATAGGTTTTGATAGGTACTACAAAATTGTAAAGCCTGGGTTTACATCCTTTGTTCACACAGTAAATTACAGCAAGATCATCTCCATAGTCATATGGGTATTGCAAATGTTTTTAGCATTGCCCAATATTATTTTAACTAATGAGTCTCCAAAAGAGAGAAATCCCAAAAACTGTATGAGTCTCAAAAGTGAATTAGGTATATACTGGCATGAGGCTTCAAGCTTTATTTGTGTAGGAATTTTTTGGATTGTGTTTTTTCTATTAACCATTTTTTACAGTTTGATATCAAGAAAAATATACAATTCCTACAAAAAGTTCAGGAGGAATTCAGAAGCAGCTAAGAAAAAAACCAATCGTAACATATTCAGTATCATGTTCGTGTTTGTCATTTGCTTTGTCCCATATCATCTCTGTAGAATTCCATACACACTAAGCCAAACCGGATCAGACTACACCTGTCAGTCAAAAAGACCTCTGTTCTATGCAAAGGAATTCGCTTTGTTACTGTCTGCTGCAAATGTATGCCTTGATCCTATTATTTATGTCTTTCTCTGTCAACCCTTTAGAGAAAAATTATATCAAAAACTGAATCTTAAGTTGGGAGCTACAGGTGATGCAGAAAATTCTAGATCTAGAAGGTCAAACACACTTCGTGAAAGTATAAATATTACATAAATTCAGAGATCTCTTGTGATAATAATGTTGAAAAATACTGAAGATTGTATATGGTTAATAACTGAATTGAATAAATAAAAAGCACATGCAAGAACAAATAAGATTTCAATATAATAAGCAGTTTACCTATTTTATTTCCTACAATATACCATACCTGTACTTATACTCTACTTCAATTTACTTCATCCTGTAATATGATAGAGTAAGTGATCTTTCTGTATTTAAGGAGGACAAAATAAAATTACTTGATTTGAATCCTGGAGCATGCCACGTAAGTAGCTAGAACTAAGAATAGACCAAGAAGCAGCTACATCTTGTTAAACTCCTGGGAAACCAACCAAGAGCAAAAACGAAAAAACACACCTGGCAGGATGCAACTGAGACCAGCTGAGTAGCTCAACTCAAGACCTGCACATTCTCAGGTAGTGCTAACTTTGGCAGAAACCCATCTGCAGAAGCCAGCAGGGCCAAGCCAGTGCACTCAGGCCCTGGAAGGAAGAAAGTGCCCTGCATTGATATAACAAAACAAAGACCTGAGAATGCCAAAAGGGGCTCCAACAAACTTCAAGAGAGGGTGAAAGAAGAGACAAAGAATAAAAGGTGAAAAGCAGCTTAAATCCTTAAGGTTCCACCTAGAGCTTAGAGAACCCTTGTTAGGTTATGAGACAAGAAGAAATTTTAAAAGTTTATGAAAATCTATTTGTAACTCTTAGAGAAAAATCTTTATTCAATAAGAATGAAACCACACACTTTTACAGGCTCTTATACAAGCTGTAGCCTGTAAAAGAAAAAGTAAAATCTTCTGGTTTTTGTTTTTCTAAAAA